TTTACTCTCCACTGTATTATTATCTTTTGGGTTAAAATGTATGACAAAGTGGAAAAAGTTTTCTTGTGACGTATTTCATCTTTTCTCTGAAATCCTAAAGGATGAAATGCGTCTCACGAAAATTTTCTCCACTTTGTCATACATTTTTCCCCAATATTGTTCTTGATATATAAAATATATATATTGTTATCTCATTATCTATAAAATAAAAATGCCTCTTGCTTATGAATATAAAATATCAATGTATGCATGAAAATTCTATATAATAAATAATATATACAAAAAATGAAAATTTATTTTTATTCTAGAAAACATTAAAAGCAATTATTAATCATAATCAGAGCTGAAGACTACCAGATAATATAAAGCAATTAATCATATAAAAATATTTCTAATTATAAAGAGAAGCTTAACTGACTTTTATGGATTCTACTGAGATGAACGACATTCTATTTTTAAATTATTTCTAGCATTTGGTATAACATGTTTACTTGAAAAGACATCTTTAAAAATGACGCATCCAAAATCTCCATATAGATTGGTCTTAACTGTTCAGCATTCAATTTTGATGACAGGAGGGAGGCACAAATTTTTTAACAGGAAGATGGATTTATCTTTATCCCATGAAAAAAGAATTTCATTATTCTTTTTGACTCTTCATCTTCAACATCATCTTTTAAGAGAAAAGTATAAGAGTTGATGCTTATTCATAATGAAAGAATATATTGTTTTAAATGAAATAAAAACTAAAATGTTTTTATAGTTCAATATATGTCCATGCTTTCTCTTGGTCTCAAAAAACATTGCCAATTTGGCCTATATCAAAATAAGTTTACTGATCCGTGACCGTAGAAAGTCATAAGTATGCTGCATACAGTGATGGTTTAATTCCTTGCAGTTGTAATAATTTTTTTAGCTTGGATTACTGACTATAACTCCATAGCAAGGCACTCATTTTGTATATTTCAGATTTGTTTTCTTTAAGATCTCTATTAAAAAGCTTTTAAATACTGTTTTAAGAAAAATTAAAACTATTTTTGAAAATAATAATTTATTCTTGAAAAGAAATTAAAAAAAATAAAAAAACATGTTTGTAAATATTGTGGAATTCTATCAGATTGTTGGATCCAGTTCAATACTTTTCCAATTTTGAAAGTTGAATTTGTAAGAAGAAAAAAAGCCCACAAAAAAGCTCTTCTTCCTCTCTTTTCATTCTGATTCTTTCTCTCTATCATACACTTCTTGGCAAAGTTTAACATTCATGCCCACAATAAAATGGCGTGCCAAAAGGATAGTTTTTTTTTTCCCCTTGACACTGTTATTATTTTGTATTACCATCACTACCTTAGCAATGTTTGTTTTAAGAAGTGATGATCAGAATTTTAATAAAACCCAAACATATGAAAGTAAATTTATACATTTCTTTGAGAATTTACAACAAAAATATTAAAGACTGTTTATTTGCAAGAATAATTTTATATTTACAATATTCTAAAAATGCAACCAAACTAGTACAATGAAAAGTTTACCACTTCATAAAGAAATAAATATGAAAACAATTTTTCATAAATTCATAAAGAATTTACAAAATTATAAAAAATGTGAACCAACTATAATGAAATTTTATTTTTTTACCATTTTATACTTTTTATTTTATATATATTTTTTGTTCAGTAGTGGATTTCTTCCTTTATTATTTATCTCTCAAATATTTATTTTTAGCAACAACAATAATAAAAATTGTTCTCATATATTTAATGATAATTTTATACTTTTATTAGTTTTATTCTTTTCTTATCTATTGATTTGTTTCTATTATTGTCATTAAAGTAATATTAAGTCAAAGTGGTACATTTGATAACGAACTGTTCATTCTTGCATCTAGTGTAAAATATATATGATCGTTCCTTGTCATGGTAGAAGGCTTACTTGTCTCAGTGTTCCTAAGAGTGAAGCCATCTGGAGTTCCAAATACTATAGAGCCACCCATGGCAGTAAGTTTGAAGAGGAAAGACCAGATTGAACACAAACAACCTTGAAGATTCCAATGGTGAAAGAGACAAAGATCTACACGATTACAACGGCTAAACTGGTGGAAGAGGGCAGTGCCAGTCAGGCTGGTGTAACCAAGGTGGACCTTGACAGATCATGTATCCGAAAGCCTGATGTAACCAGGTTTGCCAGATCTCATCTGTCTCAATCCCCTTTGAGTTGTGAGGGAGCTGCTTCTGGTCAAGTGTGTGGGCTTTTCTGTCACACAGTTATCCACCAAAATCAAATTCACACAAATGGCCTTGTCAAACACTCTTTGATTCACAGCCATCTCTGTCACTGTCACCAAAGTAGAGTAAGGGAATATAGGGAGAGAGGATGACAATCCCAATACTCAGATGTGAGAAGGTACCAACAACCACCACCATTTTACAAAGTTTGAATCAATTGGCAGTAAGCTAATGCTTTTCTAATCATTCCAAAGAACACAATTTGTTGATTTTTATAAATTTTTGAATAAAATATTTCTTTTCAAATTTAGTTCTTTGTAATATGATAAATAATGAATCTTTCTAAAATGGTAAATAATAAATATTGCAATGTACTTGGTTCACATATTTTTATAAACTTGTAAATAAACATAGCTGAGGGAGTCTTGGTAGTTTAAAGTAATAGCAGTGTCAACAGAAAAACCATTCTTTTAACACAGCATTTTTTTGTGGGCATGAAAGTTAAACATTGCCACCTTCCATTTTTTTCTCCCATCCTCCTCTCTCTTAATGCCTTTCACATTAATCCTGGATATGACAATAAACTACATCCGGCAGCATGACCTCTGATTAAGAGATCTAAGGTTTTGAGGAGTGTGAAACCATCTCTTCATTGCTGTTGTCTCCAGGCCCACCCTGATCTGAGCTGCTAGCACCTGTTAGAGTCCCAGCTATGCACAAATAGTGAACCCCCAAACTAAAACAAAACACTATGAAAGTATAAAAATACATTTTTATTGTAGAAATACCAGCAATACATTTTTATATAAAAAAAAAAATCTCCAACAATACCTATTAATAGTAAAATGACCAATAATACATATTTATCTGTAGTTGATGGCATACAATTGCATTCAAAGTATTTAGATTTTGGCATTAAATAACCAATAGAGGTTGGTATGTCACTAAATAAAACCAACCAACCTCCATATTGATATTGTTTAATTTAGATCTGAGGATTTTTGTGGGTTAAATTAGGTTGATGCTTTTGTTGGGCTAAAGGAATCTGGTTATAAAAATTTAATTTGCAGGATAGATAAAAACCATCTGTTTATAAAAACAATGTGTATATTCATGTAAGGTTAAAACTTTCAACATTAAACCTTACCCACTTGGTGTCACAGTGGTTTTCCTAACTATAGGCAGTTTAGCCGGTCCGGTTCTTACATGGTCTATTTTTTTTTTTTTTTGTCTATCCATGGCTTGCTTTCACTTCTCAACCTATGCAGAAATCCATTTTTAAGGATGTTCTGCACCCCCACCACCACCACCACCACCACCACCATCATGTTAGTTCAATGATTTATAATTACAAATGTCAGCGTGATGCTGAATATATTGGCAAGGCTAATCAGAGGTTGAATACTGATTGATTAGCATTTACCAATTAAGATATGTCATGGGCAGTATGAAAATTTGCATATGCTTGTCAATACTTCCAATTATATGATTGCAAAACACTTAATAAATATTCTGACTTGTACCACAATTTCACCAGGGATATTTTCACAGTAATCAGCAGAGCACATTTGAATTGCTATCTTAGAGTTCCTGAGACTATTTATATTAAGTCTAAGCAGCCTTTCCTCTGTAAGCAGAAGGAATGGCTGCTGGGAGTAAATGTAACCTGTCTGATTTATATTACTAATTCTCTAGAAGTAAAGTTTTTTTTTTTCTGTTTTAATCATAGTATACATATTTCTTTTTGGTAACTGGTTAACCCTTTTTTGTTATTTCTTCTTTGTTGTCATATTTTTGATATACCATTTTATGGGGAGAAATTTTCTTTTTCTTACCATTTCTCTTTCCCCTTTGTTTTATGTATTTTTTTTTATACATTTAAATATACTTATAAATTGTCAGTTTGTTAAAGCAATCAAAATTCTTAAGTTGGAAAAGTTTCTCTTTGCATCTTTTTACTCATAAATTTATCTTTCAAATATGGTAGGGAATGTGGGTTGGTGGCTCATCTTTTGGTTCTGCCTGCTTCTCCTGGTGGCATTCAAATAACTTTTGTTTGAAGATCCCTCAGGATTATTGGACCTTCAGATAACCAATGATCTGTAAACCCTAATCAATCATTTCCAACACTCTTCCAACTTTAAATTAGTTCTCCATATAGTTCCAGTATTGTTACTGTGTAATTAAGATTAAAATTCCTCTCACTATAATGATCAGATTGGAACCACATTTATATAATCAGGTAAATCCTCATTGCCTAATTAAAGTTTCTGGTGAATATTAGAACATTCTAATATTGGCATTATAGTATTCTTACATCAGCATATTCCATAAAATGCCTTCTTTGCCTATAGGCAACATTTACCGATAAGCCTTAATTAATCACATATCCACAATGTTTATCTGTCATTATTTTGCAGATGGTACATTTTGGGAGAATGGTTGCATTTCCTAATGAGTTCCCCCTTTCCAAACTCAATACACTTTCCTTTCAGATCATATTGTTTATTGATTTGTTTTCTATGGTTTATCAACCCTTTGCAAGTTATTTAAAGCCAGAAAATATTTTTATATTGTGAAATTTTTTTTTTTTTTTTTTTTTTTTTTTTGAGATAATAATAGTTTAGTGATAAAAGTCTTACTAATTAATCCATAGCTGGGGTAAGAAGAGGTAGATTTATACCTTTCCTAAGGGTATTTGCATGTAAGTGAATATAACAAATCCAATGGGAATTTGAACTCGGCTCTTCAATTAACAATTTCACTCAAACATCCAAGCTTACAGCACCTAGCATTTCCAAGAAATCACCCATCTAGGTACTGACCAGGCTCAACATTACTTAACTTCAGTGATTGTACAGGAACTGGTGTTTCAACATGAAGTGGCTGTAAGCCTTTTTTCAGATCAGTGGATTTAGTAAACATATTACTCTCTCAAAGATCTGCTTTATATCTGTAACCAGCAGATATCTTTTTGCCCAAAATAGACAAATCTATCAAGTATTACCTTCTGACTCTTTCTGTCAGTTATAAACATTATTTTGTTTTTATCAATTCTGGCTTCTCTTTTTAAAATGTAGTTTTTCTCTTTCAAACTTTATCTCAAAAGATTTTATTTTGTATAAACCAGATAATGTTGAGATATTTCTGATTTATATTCTAATAAATGAGAATCATTTGTTTACGCTTTTTAATTGGTTGTATTAAAAATAATTTATAGGATTGAGAAAAACAATATCTAATTTTATACTAAAATGAATGTTGAAAGTTGTCAGATTGAGAGCAAATCAAATTCTTGGTTTCAATATCTAATTAGGTTTGTACAGTAACACCTCTTGTGTTGACCAGCCTTCATTTTGTCTGATGATTGGCATCTGACATGTATTTGTGTTAATTTTGTTTTTCTTCTGGCTTCTAATTTTCTTTTCTCTCTTGAAGGCGGTTTGTGTAGTGGGGAAGCAGTGTTATGTAGAAATATTCCCTCAATGTAGTATGGTCTTTGCTAACTGACACTCACTTCATTTCAAGATGATTAATCATTGAACAAAAAGAATTAAATCAGATTTTCATTTCCATATTGTTTGTTATTTTACAAATTTCTTTTTACAGGTCTGCAACTCGGGGTTGGGAAATGTAGTTTGAATCTTCTAACAATGAGAAGTCTTTACGTCATATTTGACTGAGTTGCTGGCTGTATCATCTTTGGTCAAACACTCAAGTTTGTTTGTACAAGTTTTTAAAACTATGGAGCTACAGAGGCTCATGGCCATGTCACGTTTAAACACCAGTTCCAATCAGTGAAGTTAAGCAATGTTGAAACTGGTCAGTAACTAGATGGGTAACCGCTTGGGAATACTAGGTACTATAAGCTTGGATATGTGGATGGTGTAATGGATAATGGCTCAGAATTATTAATCGAAGAGCTGTGTTCTAATTCCAGTTGGGTTTGTTATATTCACTTACACACAAATATCCTTGGGAAAGCTAGGAATCCACCTCTTCTCACTCCAGCTATGGCTTAATTAGTAAGACTTGTATCAGTAAACCATTATTAGCTTCAAAAGTAAAATTTTTACAATCTAAAACTATTACTTGGCTTTAAATAACTTGCAAAGGGTTGATAAATCATAAAAAATGAATCATCAATATGGAGCTACAGGGCAGTTTTGTCCAGTTTAGCAGATAGCAACTAGTTTGAACTATGCAGCTATTCTGTTTATATTATATTATGATTTTAGATTGAAGCCTGTCCTATAAAATATTATCTTTCCCCCATTCCATTTCAATCCATCATTATTTCCCCAAACCCTCATATTCAAAATATTTCTTCTTTTTTCAAAACGTCAAATATATGCTTCCATTTAATATATGCAAATAAACAGGCTGATCATTCAGATTTTGAAATTTGTTTTATTTTACCCAAATTTGGATTTGAGAAATTCATTGTCCCAATTTCTGGATATTGTTTTAAAAATTTGGTTGACCAACATCACTTAGAAGCTATTTTCTATTGTTTAAAATAATGGTTAGTGACTTCTTTAATCTCTCACCTTTTTACGTACCCGACTTTATCTGGGTGTAAACATTTAATATTTAACCATAGTCAAATGTTTTTTACTGTTAACTTGTAAAATTCTAACTACTGTAAGAGAGGTCACTTGTTTCTATAATACTATATTACACATTCTATGAGTGCATAGCTGAGTAGTTAGAATGTTTGCTTTCCAGCCAGGAGACCCTGGTTTAAATCTCACTATAGTTGATTTTATTGTCCTGGAGATACAATCCCAGCCTGCAGCATGTTTGGAAAGTGCTTGAAAATGATACCACAGGTTAACTCAAGCCGTGTGAGTTAAATTGTGTAGATAGAACTCTTTTGGAACTGTTGATTGTTCTGCTGGCACAAAGCCACAAGTCATCATTACCGAGTATTTGAGCATAATGGCTTTGTTCAGATTGTTGATCTAGATAATGTATTCTCTCCTAGACACTGTAACTAAGGTCTGCTTCTGCCCTGGGCATGATGATAAACTACATCCGCGTCCTGGATAAGACAATAAACTATATCCAACAGCAAGGCCTCTGATCAGGAGGTTTTAATGATCGTGGAACCACCTCTTAAGTGCTGGCATTTCCAGGTCCACCCTGACCCAAGGTGGTAGCATCTGTTAGGGTCCTAGCTATGGGCAAATAGTTGACACCCAAACTTGTGTAAAAATAGGTTTTAATACCTGTAAAAAAAAAATATTACCAGCAATAATTTTTGAAAGAAAAATTATCAGCAATAAAAAAAAAAAAAAAAAAAAGTACCAGCAATACAAACAGCTATACATTGTTTGGAAAAAATATTACCAACTATAGATTTCTTCAAGGAAAAATATTCCCAGAAATAGACTTTTGAAGAAAAACATATTACCAGCAATAAAAATTTTGTCAACATTAAATAACCCATTGTTATAAAATAAAATAAGACATATCTGGGCTGATTTACAGGCATATAAACTAACATACTCAAGAGCGAGAGCCGGATGTGAATGGGACAAGGCCCCGTCACAAAATGACCATTATCTTCATTTACGCATGTTCCCGACGAAAAATAAAATATTTTAAAGTGTTTCTATTGTTCAACCAATAAAAATGCTTCCCTCCTAATTATACTCATGTTGTTTTTTGAGCCTGTTAAGCCATAAAAAAATGCCATAAAAGGGGGTCACACGGAAGTACACCAAGCAGTCAACAGGAGGCCAGGGAAGAGACCTGTCACGCTCAGGCTGAGCAGCCAGCAGGAGGAGCAACACACCAACCAGCGAGAACTATTATGAGAGATCAACCCAGGTCTTCAGCCGACCTATGAACTATACCACAAGGTAGATGTCCCAAAACCACATGTTCCTATTGAAATAAATCACATGAATCTATTTCTACTGTTGTCGTATTTCTTTCTTGCAACCATACACTTGTATATAACACCATTGAGGTTGATATGCTGTAAAACAAACCAAACCAAAGGTCTGCTTGCAGTATAAATTATAGATGGTCTCTGAGGGTGTTGAACAAATACAAATGTATCTGAGCAGGCATCTGCAACAGGGATTGGCTAGCTGCCATAGTAGACAAGCATACATGAATATGAGCAGCCAACCAACAATATATTGAATATAACAAATCACTGTAGCAAAAAGGATGTAATCGATGAGGTTGCTGTTGGTTACCAGTTTGTAGTGGGAGGGGTTACAAATTGTTACTGATTAATATGAAGACTTACAAAGTAAATGAATTCAACATTTTCAAAAGAAATGAATTTCAACAAGGGGAGGAATTTTATACATATTTAAAGGACAACATGGTTCACAAAAGAGAGGAAATTATATTTGTGTGTATATAGATAGTTAAAAAAACAGGAAGGAAAACATTTATGTAATTAGCCACAATTTTGTGTGCATTTGAGGTGCCACAATGTGTGAAATTAAGTCTGCTGCATGAAGAGTGTTTCCCCACCGGCAGAGAAGAGTCCTAATGTTATCACTACTACATCAGTCAGTCAGTGCCATGCGTGATACATGCGTAGGTGATCATGTATCTTTCTATACATGACTGATGAGGCAGATTTTTTCCCGCAGTAGGTTGCCATTTCTTTCTGCGGTAGACCAGTTGCCATCCAAGGCTATAGAATCTTATCTCTCCTGCTATTTATCCATAGCTGGAAGGTGACGAAGAGGATTCATACCTTTCTCAAGAGTATTAGCATGTAAGTGAATGTAATGGATTTAACTGGAATTCGAACTCAGCTCTCTGATTCCTCAATCTGAACCACTATCCATTACTCCACTGTGCCTCTCTATCACTACTACATACTGGAGCCAAAAGAGGGGATGAGGGTTCATGACCATTTCTTTTATATCCCTGAAAAGAATGACACCTAGTGGGCATTCTGGCAGACAAGATGGGGCTTATCCCCATACTTCTTTAGAAGAGAACCAACTTTAGACAACACAGATCTTGACTTTGTTGTGTCTGGTATAGGTAACAGTTGTTTTCTCCTGAGTAATTAGCTGTTTGGAGCATGCATGTCTATCAGCATAGACAGCATTGCATGAGAATAGAGATGCTTGATTGTCAATGAATCATAGCCAATTGGTGCTGCACTTCCCAGTCGTTATCTTGTGATCAAAGTGTAGTATTTGTTCTTTCTTCCTCTTAAAATTGAGAGATGTGTAGTCCCAGGGATTACAAATCTGTGGCAGCATCACCCTCATTGCACTAAAGAGGGAGGGTTGGTGGCTACCAGTGCCAGCATAGCAATGGTCACAGAGTCAATTTTTTGGCCTTTGTGCATATATACGCATATAGGTATCCCATATTACAAACAACCTTGTTTTACATTCTACTACTATGGGGAGGAGAGTAAATACCAGCTCAGTTGATGCTGGCAGTGAAGAAAGCACTGCCTGGATTTGACTTTTTTTCTTACAGTTTCAAACTAAACTTTAATGTCATATCCAAAACATGGGAGTCACCAGACTACAGAGCAGCAGGTTAGAGAGCTACAAACTTGTTTGAGATTTTGTGAACAAAACCAAAAACTTGAAATCAGAACAGGTGGAATGTGATTTCTTTTAACACCTGCAAATTAGTTTCTTCTTTGGCAAGACACTGATGCACATCAAGTCCTCTCTTCATTCTGTTCTTCTGTAGTTACTTCAATGCTCATCAAAAGTGGGTGCAGGGTAACTCAACACCACTAAGATTTATTTTTAAATAAAGTAAATTGACATAAAAAAACTAATTCAATAAAACATTATTCACCTCATTAGAAAATAAATTACATTACACATTATTTATATTGTTGTCCTCATCTTTATTGTCATATTCACAATGTTTCAGACATTGTATGCTCCTGCCTTCTTCAGGTGATTGGAATTTCAAATGGAACCATTTATTTTGTACATCGGGGTAGATTGTTCTAGTTTCACATACCGTAGCTCTTCAGGATGTTTCAGTTATCTCCCTTTAACCCAGCTCTCCAAGTTTTTGTGCACCACTGCAGTAGCCAGGTATTGAACTCACAACTCTGGGTCAAGTCACTGGATTCAACCAAATGCTTTTATCCACTGGGCCATATGTCTTTGAGGATAAACGCATTGGTTGGATCCAACTCTTTGGGTCATGTCACTGGATCCAACCAATGCCAGAGCGTACAATGACCGAAATTTTGTGAATATGGCAATAAAGATGAGGACAGCAGTCTGAACAATGTAAATAATTACAATACCTCATCTCAGAAATATAGACAGATATTACAATTTATCTTATTAAAAATAATTAAAAACAAAAAACTGCTTCATTTTGTTTTGCATTTTTTGATTTACTTCATTAAAAACATAATTAAAAACAAGTGTTTTATTGAATTATTTTTTATGTCAATTTACTTTATTGAAAATTTCTTTACAATTTACTTTATTAAAAATAATTAAAAATAAAAAACTGGTTCATATTTTACATAATGCCTTTTCAGTTGCCTTATTTGTAGAAAAATATTCACTAGTTAAGGTTTTAAATAAATTAGTTTTATTCAGTTATAAAAAAAAAAAGTTATGTTTTTTCTGGTGCTGAGTTGTCTCAGTTCTGAGTTGTCCTACCACTCAGTTGGTGATGTTGAGTTGTCCCTTTCTGCATCAAAAGTCCTTTGCATTCTTGTTTTGTTCCTTTTGCAGATGTGCCTTTTCCAAATTGCAAATTGTCAACTTAGCATGTGCAGCATGAATGGTCATCACAAAAATGTTTTTTAAAAACTTTCCAACATAGTCCTTTATTGTTCTGTGATTAATGTCCTTACTTAAATAGTAACAAGAACAAAATATTTGTGAAAGATCAGACTTCATTACATTCAATTTCACACAAATAACTTTGGGAAAGGGATGAATCCAAATCATCTTCCCACAGCTATATGTTAAATAGCAGAGTAGACTGACCTCTCTAGCCTTGGTAAGCAACCAATCTAAAAGGATAGCTCTGAATTCAAATCTAACTGGTGGGTTAATGGGTTCATAGCAGTTTTTATTAGAGAACTACCTTATGTTGGGACACTAGGTAGGCAGCTTTAGTAAGGTGCTTACTATACACCCATTGAAAAGATTATGGAGATTACATTTAACTGCAGGATGGGGTTGTGGACATCGATCTGAAATGAGGTCAATTAATATATATATATTTATTGTTTTTTAAAAATATATTATCATTGCAACACTAAAATTCCCATGTTCAAAACTGAAACTTAAATCTAAATTCAATCATAAAAATTAAGCTTAAAATACAAAGTTTTGTTTTTAGCATCGCTTGATAATGGAATGGGACTTTGTATTTAAAGCTTAATTTTTATGATTGAATTTAGATTGAAGTTTCAGTTTTGAAACATGGGAATTTTGGTGTTGCGATGATAATATAAAAAAAAAAAAACCATTATAATATTATGCTCTACTGTTCTATCGAGCACTGTTTTTTAAAAATAAATGCTAAGAACTCTGAATTATAAATTTCATTGTTCTTCCCTAGTATTTTAATATGTACACACATATATATATATATATATATATATATATATATATATATATATATATTATAAACTGTTACTTTTACCACCAATGTTAAGCACTTGATGAGATGTCTAAATTAGACATCGAAACAAATATGCATTTTTGTCATGGTAACTTGCATGTTATAATAAATATTTATTGCTTTACTCTTGTATTGAGCCCTTTTTAAATTAATGTTATGAACATTTGAATTTATATTCTTTTCATTCTTTTACATTTTATATATATATATATATATATATATATATATATATATGTGTGTGTGTGTGTAATAGTATCTGAAACAAAAGTAAAGATGATGAGACAAAGTAGAAAATTTATTAATGATATATTTCACTGAAAGTGTCTGTTCTCTTTGACTTCCTCAGGTTACAATGAAAGAAGGACAGAACTGTATGTGAGGAAAAATGCTTTAGGATTTTTGAGGATAAGTAGTGACCATAAATCAAATTAAATTAGATATCACCTCCAATGTCCAGAAACTCAAGAGAGTATCTCTCTGCTTTTTGTTTGTTTGTTTTATCTATAATATAGAAGCGTTTCATGTTGTTGGATGTTAAATCAGTCCACCTAACCTAGAGTGATTTTTTTGTGTAATATATATATATATAAAACTACTTTAAATGTTATTTTTAGTGAATAATCATATCTGAGTAGATGCTCTGCTTATTTATTAAACAGTATATTTATTTTCATCTACTGGTCTTAATATTTGAAAAATCTTAAAGAAAAATATACACTCTCTAACAGGATTCGAACCTGTGTCTCCCTAGGCAAAGGGAACCATTGTTAGATCCAACATGCTCTAGACCAACTGATCCATAGAGAAATGGGCTGATCAGGCAAAGTTGAATAGTGCCTTTAAACAATAAAATCTATTGGATTAATAAATAAAAAGCCATTTTATATATATATATATATATATATATATATATATACACACACACACACACTTTCATGTACATGCCATACTTACACACACCCAAGCATATACATTTTTTTTGTTTACTTATACATCCATGTATACAAACATGTATTTGCAAAAAAAAAAAAACCAAAAAAAATAATCTTACCATTTCCTGTTTTACTTTTTTTAAAATTGTGAATTTTTATTTCTGTTTGAATTTCTGACATGAGAAGTTATCATTATTTATGTACAGACTATTCATCTTTGTTGTTGTTGCTATCACAATTTGGTAAGTTAGTAATTGTGAGTTCAATCCCTGAGCAAAGTAGTGCAGACTTAACCTCAGTGGAAATGGGGTGAGCAATAAGTCAAGATATCTCTAGACATGGGTAGTGGAATGAGAACAATCTACCTCCATAGATTAAATAAAGGGTTCTGTTCAAAATTCCCTGAAGACTACCTCGAACAACAAGGCACTTGATGACGGTAGGAGAGCAGAATGGCTGAAATATGATAATAATAAAGATGGGGATAAAAGTTTGAGTGTAAATAATGTAAATGCATTTTTCTTTCTTTTTTCTTATATGCAAAAAAATCCCTGTTAACATTGAATTTTTTGCTTATATTTCAGAAATTAAAAGACAGTCTTGAAGCAAATCCTCTTTTACAACTAAGTGTTGCTGAAGAACTCAGTTCTGTAAGTTATGTTAAGTATTATTATTATTGGTAGATGTTTATGTAACTGGTAATATCATTCATAGTGTTTATGAAACAAATGCCAGACCTTTCATCTAGGATAATGATTATATATAGTGGCACACTAAATGCTAAACATTTTTATAGTACATTAACATGTCATTTAAGCAATTAGTTGATTTTGTTTTTTCCAATCTTACAATATTTCTTATTATGTAAATGTTATTTTAGTGGATACATGTCAGGATGTCTACTCAAACATGAGTACCCATTAAAATAATGTTTTCAATAATACGAAACATAGGAAATATAGAAAATGTAATTTTTTTAATCTTACTTATAAAATGCAGATTGTGTGTGCGTGTGTGTGTGTGTGTGTCTGTACGTTTATATATTGGATCGGATTTCCTACATTTTTCAACCGATTTCAACAAAACTTCACAGGACTGCGTAAAATTACCTTGTGATGGTTCTGACAGTGCCAAAAATTGGAAAAGCACAATTTATTTTTGCACGAAATCAATTCGAAAACACGATTCTGTCGCCAGAATGAAAGAGGGACAACTCATATGGAGTTATACTTATTATAAAACCCAGGTTGTTTGTGTGTGTGTGTGTGTTCGTTTATATATGGGATCGGATTTCCTACATTTTTCAACCGATTTCAACAAAACTTCACTTTTTTTTGGCAGGTAGTGTTTCTTATTGTCTTGCACACTTTTTTCTTTATTTTTACATTCAGAATGCTTCAAAAATTCCATTTAGAAGACAATTGTTTATAATAAAATTCTATTCAATCGATAGACTCATAACGATTGAAAACAATGTTTTTGTTTAAGTTTGGGTTTGACCAATTCGTAAAAACAAAAACAAAAACAAAAACTAATTAAGACATGCGTGTCCGTCAACCTTAAACAATAATCTCTGTCAAATTTATTTTTCAGTCTTTATGATGGTCGATACTTGATTTATCTCTTACTGTTACATCCCTGGGCAACACCAGGCTCTACTGCTAGTACTTTCTACACTAGAGAATGATTTATCTGTTAGTTACAAATTTATATTTTTGCAATTCCTTAAGAAGGAATTATAATTATTTTTTTTTTAAACTGTATATTTTTATATTGTAAATTATATTTACTAGAAAGACCTGTGAAAATTTCAGTGTTTTCCAATTTGAATTTTCTGATGAATGTCAATTCTTAAGTTAATGATTGAATAAGCTCATGGAGAATAATTTAAAAATAATTCAACAGATGATGTTATTTTATTAATAGTACTGTATTTTTGGCAAGTACCTTACTGGACTCTGTTTCAAGTCACTCAAAGTGAAGTCATTTAAATGGTCAAACTGAAATTTTTATGTGTATCTTTTTTAATACACACTTCAATATTTGATTTATAATTAGGATGCATATGGATACAAAAAACAATTTAATCGAGTTTTTATTTTTGTTTATATCAAGTTGGTTGGCCTTATTGGGTTTCCATCATTCTGTGCGTCTAAAAAAACGTTGCATTTATCATGGTCGGCAGTGCTTCTTGCTATTTTGATTGAGAGCAAATTTTGGTGATAATCATGTGGATGAAAGGAAATCATGTATTTTAGTCATAAGTAGCTGTGCTTGCTCTAGTCTATTGGAGTGTAATGCTATGTCATCTGCATAGTCTGTATAGCATATGACACTAGCTGATTCTTGAATACTTTTGGCTTTTACAGCTCCAGTCCTATCTCCAGATGGTAGGATCAGTTTGGTAGCTATTCTACTGGGATATACTCTGGGTGCATATCTTTTCATTATTTATCCAGATTATGCCTTATTACTTGCCATGAAAGATGAAAAAGTGGACAAGAATTGAGGCAGGCATTACTAAGAGAATAAGTTTATTAGATGTAAATTGGAAAGTGGGTAGAAAGGAGTTTTATTGGTTAGAAAATAGTATTGCTACCAGAATAAGTTTGTCGTATGTATAATGTAAATACATTTATTATTGATATGAATTGAAAATTATGAAGAAAGTATTCAGGTATTATGGCAACCATTACTGACAGAATCAGATTATTATATGTAACAATTATTGGCTTTTATACTGCAGTCTTCTGTTAGCACATTTTAAATGATGCAGAATTAATGTTTGTATCAGGTCATCCCATAAGTTCTATCCGAATTTTAACTTTTTTTAAAAATGAACAAAATTTATAGAGTATTTTATAATGGAGCTGAACATTATTTTTATGCTTAGATGCATTTAAACTGATCAAATTTTACTTCAGAGAACAATAAAATTAAATTTTGTTTGATTAAAATCCTGCTAACATGGAAGTACTCAAGAATCATTTGAAGCACATAATGCTTTATGAGTTCAAGAAAGGAAACTCAGCAGCTGAAGAAGCTAGAAACATTCACTCAGTTTATGGAGAGGAATGTGTGAATGAAAGAACTTGCAGAAGATGGTTTGCAAAATTCAGAGGTGGAGATTTCACCCTTGAAGATGAAGATCAAACCGGACGTCCAGTTGAGTTTGATGAAAAGCTTCTTGAAGCAGCCCTTGAAGAAAATCCTGCTTTATCAGTTGAGGAATTGGCAGTAGTTCTCAGTTCAAACCATACAACTGTTCATCGTCATCTTCAACAACTTGGAAAAGTTTCTAAACTTGGAAAATGGGTGCCTCATGAATTGTCTGAAAACAACCTCAAATCCCGAATTGACATCTGCTCTTCTCTCCATTCTTGCGAACTTGTTTCACCTTTTTTGGATAGACTTGTGACTGGCAACGAAAAATGGATCTTTTATTGAAATGTTAAGCGTCGTAGACAGTGGCTTGGTAAAGGGAAGGACCCCAGCCACAGCTGAGAGAAGAGAACTTCATGGGAAAAAGGTTCTTCTTACAATCTGGTGGGATCGCCAAGGAATAATCCACTTTGAATTCTTACCACCCAATGCAACAATTAATGCTCAAATATACTGTCAGCAATTAGAGCATTTGAACCAAGCTTTGAGGAAAAAAAGACCTGCTCTAGTGAATCAAAAAGAGGTTATGTTTCATCAGGACAATGCATGACCCCACACAGCAAGAATCACGTCACAAAAGATCGAAGAACTTGGTTGGGAGAAAATTCCTCATCCACCTTATTCTCCCGATCTTGCTCCTTCAGACTACCATTTGTTTTGTAGCTTACAGAATCATTTGGAAGAAACAGCTTTTGTTTAGCAGACAATTATTTTTAGAGAGGTGTATCTCAGCTTCAACTTCTGGAGGTTGACAGCTGGGGTCAGATGTGTACCATAATAGGGAAGTCGATTTTGATTTTCTGAGTTAACGTGAGAAAGAGATAGGAGAAAAGGTTTCAGTGAGTTATTTTTTTTACCCATCTAGTGATGTAGACGTGTTCTCTTTTGTGTTCAAAACGGCTATCCAGTAAGACGGGAGTACCCCCCCACACACACACAGAGGATAGTTAGATAATTTACATGTTGATATGATTAATAAAAATAGTTAACATTCTCTGTGTTTGAAGTCTTTCATTACTGAATTAACATGATTGGCAATCGCTGGCCAAAAGAAAAAGCCGAGCTGAGATCATTCACTGCTTTTCACTGCATTCAATATGCAATATTAGAAAATGTTTTTGTGTGTGATGTCCAGACGGTTTCTTTGAAATGAAGATTGTTGCATGTGATGAGTGTGAGTTAAAATCTAGTATGTGAATGCCCAGGAGAAATAAATCTTCCCTAGCATGAACAAGTATAATGTTGATGTTACTACATTTTGGAGCAAAAGAGAGTGAAATCTTTTTCTAGGCTTGAGACAACACTTAGTGGGCATCATCTCTACACTTTAAATGATGTTGTTGAAATTCTCCACTGCAAGTGTTCTAAAAATGTTTGAATCAAATTCAAAAGAATCCAGATGTTAATTTGGTTGAAGAATATCATTAAGGACAGGGACAAAGATGAAAAAGAAATGTAAAGAAGTGATGAAAAATATTTTTCTGGGACAGAAACAAGAATTGGTTTGATTGATTGACTTGTTTTTTTTCTGAAATCTCAGCTTTAAATCAACCATTTGTGGGTTATTTAAAGCTGAGATATATTTTGGATTGTAGGAGGTCGCTTACAGTACCTAGTGTTTCCAAGCGATCCCCCATCTAGCTACTGACTGAACTTGACATTGCTTAATTTCAGTGATTAAACCAGAAATAAGGAAGCTGAAAGGATATCAGTATTGATTATCAATTGCATAATAAAAGGTTCTAAGAATTGATTGTACGATGCAAGTTTGGTAACATGTTGGTAAAGTTTTTTAAATTAAAATTAAATATATGGAGATAAATTAACTCACTAATGCCCTCCCCAACATCCTGCTTTGGAGACAGTGTGCATTAATGGTAATTCTAATTTTAGCTGTTTCCTCATTAGGAAATATTTAGCTTTCATTGACAGAACAGTGTTGACTGTCCATTGAAATTTATAAAATCTTTCTCTTAAAACAAGTATTGATAGGGACTTTCTTCCTCACTAGACTTTTCTAAATGGTGTACCACTAGACAGAATTTGAAACTTTTAGTATAATTTCTGTTCATAGTATGAATATATAAATTCCCTTTGCCACATACAAAGAAATGTAAGTTGTCTTCTTTTTTAATATGTAAATGAATATCTGATATCTTCAGGATATACAATTATATTTATTTATATATGAAGAAATAGGAATATAAAGTGTAGAAGAATTATCTCAAGAATATTAACCTGAGAGCTGGACGTACTTTTTATTGGTAGTTTCTTTATTTTTCTTCTTTGTTCCAATTTGACTTGTCTCCTCCTTTTGCAGAGTGAAGAATCTGATATTCCAGAAGAATATAATGAAGTCAATGATGATAATTCAAACTCAGGGAGCCAGGAATTTGATTCTAACCTTTTTAAACATGATGATCATGTTGTGCTAGAATTTGGAACTCTTGCAAGTAAGAATATATTTTTTCTCTCTCACTTTTCTTTTTTTTTTCTTTTTATAAGTTCATCATTACTCGTATTCTCCTAGTAACTTGTCTTGATATTAAGCCATTTTGTTAGTTTCAGTGACAGAATAAATGAAACACAATTACTGTTCTATGCCTTTACACTCATGCCTTGTTCTACCCTCAGCCTTCTTCAGATGTCTCTTGTACTCTGTAACCATCTCAGAATATTGAACTAAACCCTTTATTCAATCCACGGAAGGTGAATTGTTCTCATTCTGTTTTCTATCTTTAGAGGATATCTTGTATCAGTTAATTCTCTCTATTCTAATTGCTTTTGTGTTGCTTGTTCATTTCTTCCACTGAACTAGAATATACACATATTTTTCACTTCCCAACCCAAGGATTGAACTCATAATTTCCATGGTGCTCTCTTTATTATGTTTCCTAGAAATTTCAGTTGCCCAGCATTTACTACCATATAGGAGGATTGATATCATATAGCAATTCAGTACTTTTGATTTTGATATCTCCAATTTGTAGCTCACATCTTGAACCATCCCTTTTGCTGACAACCATACATTCCCTCTCTCAATTGATAGTCCTATTTCTTCATTATATGTCAGCAAAATTTCAAATTGATTTCATGAGAAGGTATTGGCTTTCAGGTTTGCTTTCTTTTTAATTTTTTGACTGGAAGCAGACCATCTGCATACAGATAGAAAATTATATAGGTACATGGAAATAGAAAGAGACATAAGAGAAGAATGTTTGGTTTCTACAGTGAGGCTATCCTAAGGGTACTGGAGACCCTACCAGTACTTATTATCAGTGGGTGTAATCTTAAAATCGGCAGATGACCCTGTGTTGATGGTAGGCACAGAAGAAAACTACAGGATCTTCTTGATAAAGTGGTAAAGGAAAGCAAGCAAAAAAAGATGAGCTATCAACTGTAAGAAGACAGAAAATATGCTTGTCAACCTGAGAAAAAGCCCAAGATGCAAATCATAAATTGGAGATGTCAACATCAAACAAGTACGATGTTTCGATACCTGTGAAGTGTTTTAATGAAGGATGGAAAACCTGACACTAAAATCTGAATGCAAGAAAATGCATAAGTGAAAAATGCATTCCAAAAGCTCAACAAAGTATAAAGAAAATTTCTAAGGAAATTTCATTATAAACAACAAAAAGAGTGTAGAACTGCTATGTGATATCTATTCACTTGTATTGCAGAGAATGCTGGACAATTTCCTCACAGGAGGTAGTAGAAATGTCGTTCTATAGAAGGATGTTGAGATTTCCATTGCTGGAGTGAGTAATTAAGAAATTTTAAAGAAAATGTGCATTTATACTCAGAATCAGAGATAGTTGAAATTTCTTGGGCAAATAATCTGGAAGGAGGGCTTGGAGACCTTGACCCTCATAGGGCATATCAAGGGCAGGAGAGATAGGGTAAGTCAGCGTATCATCTATCTGATGAGCTTGTGTGAATGATTGGCAGAATGAGGTGCAAGAGGCTTGTCAAAAGGAGGAATGCTGCTAAGGTCTACAAAAGTTGGGAAGCTGTGGAGAGCCATGAAGGTCCACGTCCAGGATAGATATGTCACATAGAAGGAGAAAAGGAAGTAAACATGTTAGAGCATCAAGGACAACCAGGAAAGACATTTGGTTGTTTGACCTGTTGCTAATCCTAATCACAGACTGAAGAATTTTCTCTGTGAAAACCACATGAATTTACATCATTTTTAAAAAAATTTATTCCATCATCACCTGTTGTGGCTTTTTTGTTTTGTTTTAATTATTTTCATTGTTTTCTTTACAGAAAAAAGTGAAAGAAAATTATGCTCTGTTGCAAGAAAAAATTCTGCTGGTGAGTTTGAGTCAATTAAATTTATGTAAGAGATGATCATAAATAAAGATAAGGCTTTCTGATAAAAAACAATTTTATGCAGAGGAATTTGCATAACTTTAAATATTAACAATAAAACTATAATCTCTTAATATATTTTCATATCAAACTATTTTCAGCACAACCACATTGAATACTTGTTAGTTTTTATGGCTTGTAAACAAATCATATATATACATTGTCTTGTTGGGTGATTTAAACATTTGTTCAGCATAAGTAAAAATAAAGGACAAATCTTTTATTTCTTATATTAATTTTACTGAACAATGTATTTACCATACACATTTGTAATGTTTAGATGTAATCATAAGTTCTATGGTGACATTTTCTTCCCTCACATTTTTGGCTTCTGGTCTCTTGCTTTCCTGTCAACTTTGATCTTCAAAAATTTAAATGCAATTTCAATTGTTATCTTCTGTCTCAATTCTTATTCTTTTATTTGCAATCCAACATTATTTGCAAAATTTATATTTAGTGGATACTTGTGCATGATGGCAACAAAGATGTAAAGAGGCAAGCTTGATTGTTGAATATAAAGTAACAATGAGTGAGAAACTAAAAGGCAGGCAGGTATAGATAAACCAAAGTGACACTGCTGTTTCTCACTGCCATTTTCACCATCATAACATAGCTTCCCTCTGCCTTTTCTATAAATACTTTCATGGTAATTATTCTCATGAACTTTCCTCTCTGGGCACTAGACTTTATGAATTTAAGAGCAGTACTAGATTGGCAGCAAGGCCTCATCATTTTACAGTCGAAATGGCTAGATGGAACCACAAATTCTATGCTAACAGTTCCTTCTATTGCACTTCTTACTTTTGGAACTCTCTTCTAGCCTCTTGCTTTCCTGTCAACTTTGATTTTTAATAATTTAAATGCAATGCCAGTCGTTATCGTCTGTTTTCTTAATTCCTGTGCTTTAATTGTTCTTTCTCCTTCATAATGTTTTTCTTTTTCTCATATTCTCTCCTATTCAGTAATCTCTTGTTTTTAGTGGCTTTATTGCCTTGCTTGGAGTGAAATGATTAAAGAAAATAGAAATTGCTCCACTGTATTCTGCTAGCTTTCAAGCAGTTTCATAATTTTATCCTCCAAGAACGTTTTATTTTTCTGAGTAAAGAACTGCTTGAGATGCCTTTTGCAGTCTTCTGGGTAAATGAAGTATTTTTTACATTAAAAGAATTCTAAGTACTAGAATAAATGTTATTCTGAAGGTATTTCATATTTACGAATTGTTGTTGCTATATTTTAGTATTGATGGGAGTGAGGTTCCTTCCTATCCTTTTGTTTAAGGCAATGTGGAATATTAACATCTTGATTCTGTAATTTTTTTGTTATTCTGTAAAGTTTCTTTGTGATTCTGTATTACTTTTCTGCAAGATCAAGTGAAGTGCAGTCCTCTATACAGGGCACATTCATTTGAAGCCATTTTTAATTGATCTGCAAAAACAGTTGTATATAGCTAATAGTTTAGACATTTCTGAATGATTTGGATGCCATGCATGTCATTCATACAAGAATCTAGATCTGACAAGGCTATTTAAGAGCATGACTTGAGTTCTTAGGTTAATATTTTGATTTGTTAGTATCTTGTGTTGGGAAAAATTACCTCCAGTGCAGTTAATTCTATATTCGTTACCAAATAGGTTGACACTGACAAAAAATATGGAAATAGACATCTTTTTTATTGATATGCATGTTGGCAAACTAAATACTTGCCTCAACATGCATTTTCTTCATTAGTGGTAATTAGTAGGAACGTTATTTTCATAATGTCTCCTTCTAGAAAGTATGACGCATTGTCTAACCTTGTCCTAGTCAAGCTCAGGTTATCAAACAACTGTTGAGGGAATGGATTGTTTAGATAGCTTTCTGTAGCCTTTTCCTTTTTTATTTTGTAACAAGGTTACTGGTGTGGATTTTACAAGTGAATTCACATCTTTTGGCTGATTAGAATTGGATTAACTTGAGAATATGTGAAATGCCTAAATATCAAACCTAGGTAATTTGGATTTTACCAGTATACCGGAGAAAGTGAGATTTGAATGTAAGAAAGAAACCAGGTGTCTGAATGTTTAACCAAGAGGAGAAAATTGTAGAAAAAATATCAGTTTAAAGAAAAGAGAAATATCTTAAAAAAAAATGTGGGTGACGTGAGAAATTAAAGGAATGAAAAGACTAGATGGGGACTAGATAGATAAAAACAAGATTCTTTGTGGACAAGATGATGGATTGCTGTTTATTGATCATTGATTTTTTTTCCTATCTATGGGACGGGCAGGTAATTCATGGAAAAAGAAAAAGAACCTGGGGGATAATATTATGTCGGATGATAAAAATGGATGCTGAAGAAAATTATAATTTGATCAGATACTGTTAATTGGTTAAAGAAATCTAGTTGGTGACATAGCTTGTTTGAACCCACTCTAAGAGTGATAGTTAAAGGTTTTTCAACCAATGGTCACATGAGAACCTGGAGTTTTAAATAAGCTAAATTTGTTGAAGCTTTGAAAATGATAAAGTAGGGAATTTTGAAAAATCAAATTAACCCTAGCTCAGGTATACTGAAATACCTCAATATATGCAAGCTGGTTTTTGGCCCTTAGACTTATTGTTAGTGAAGATGCTGCAAATTAACATTACCTCCCCTCTTCATTCACCAATTGCAAAATACTGTCCAAAAAGATTGAGTTGAATGAAGAAGATTTTCCCAGGTTAAAGATATTTCAAAAGACACATAATGAAGAAAGAGGGTTTGGAGAATTTAACACACTCAGGACATATTGGAGGCAAGATGGATAGAGGGCAACAGTCAGTAATCTAACAAATTTGTGTAAAGGGATGGAATAACAGAGACTGAGAGGGATGGTGAAAAAAAAAAAAACCTTACTTAAAAGGTGTTTAAGTTGTGGAGAGTCATGATTGTTCACATCCCGAAGGTACATGGCACACAGAAGAAGAATCTAATGGAAGATTTGGAGATGAGGTTTGGAAAACCGAATTTGTTTACAGGCCCAAGACTAAAGTTCCCTGATTGAATTGCTTAACTGTTTACCAATCACCAATCCGGGCCATCCAATATGTTGTGAATAATGTCGACATATATTAATTCAACAGCTTGCCTGTAGTTAGGTATACCACAGCACTGCAAAATTAGGAAGGCTTAAACTGATGTTACCTCCAACAAGTAAAATCTGTGTTATTGTTTTGTCATGCAAGAGTTTTCTGCCTTCAAAATGGCTTTCCTTTATGTCTCTTGTAATTTACCCCTTTTGTTTCTGAGGACATTAAAACCTCCTTGCATTTAAAACTGGAGCATAACTTTGGGCTAGAATATTGACTGATGGAGTGACTTATTCCAAGTGAAACTCTGATGAGCACCAGGAGACAGGGATTATTATATTCTTCTACAATACTATTTCTGACATCCAGAACATATTCTTCTGTCTTTGGCATGGTGGAGATGTTCTGACAAAGGATGAGGAATTGTCAACATAATATATGTGGAATCAACTTGTATAGCATAATAGAACAATCTAACAAAATATTGAAATATATATATATATATATATATATATGTTTCGCTCATCAGTGGGGCTAGACATCAAGTTGCCTCTAGCTAGTATCGAAATCTGGTTGAATTGGCGTCAGTCGGAGAATCTATCCATAAACCGTTGGCACATGGCAGGGATGAAGGTGAATTTAAGTGTATTTATTTTTAGATAAACACAGCAGTGACTCAGAGAACTCTGTTGGTAGAAATGTAAATTGATTAGATAACTGCAAAGGATCAGTGTAAAAATAAATAGACACAATATGTCTATATTTTTCAATATAAAATATATATATATATATATATATACATATATATATATATATATATATATATAATAAATATCAGTTATACTATTTACATTCTTTGGACTGTTGTCCTCATCTTTTTTGCCATATTCACAACATTTCTTCAGGTGATTGTAATTTTGAACTGAATCCTTTATTTTGTCCCTAAAGTAGATTGTTTTAATTCCACGTGCCATGCCTCTTTCAGATGTTTCCATTATCGCCCTTTAACTCTACTCTTCAAGTTTCTGTTCATCACTGAAGTAGTCAGGTATTGGACTCACAACTCTTTGGGTCAAGTCATTGGATCCAGTGGAGCTTGAGGACATCAGTGTATCAATTTTTGGGACTTATAAACTTAATGTGTCAGTAAACATCTTTTTACCACAGCTCATATTGCAATTTTTTGTTGTTGTTATTGCTTTTCTCTATCACTGTGTATTACTAGTTCCCAGATTGTTTTCGCTTCTATGCTTGGCCAGCTTAGGAGATTTTTGTAGCCTAGCATATGTGCTGATTCCATAAGTGTTCATATTTTCCAGTGATGTTCTCTGTCTATTGTTTCAACCTCATCCCTGTTTCTCCTTTGTATATTTTCCCACAGCTGCACAGGATGGTGTACACACAATCCTTAGTCATGTTCTCCTCTATGTTTGGGAAGAGGTGTCTGCGAAATGTTGAACCACTTTTGAAGGTTGTCCTGATGTTATATGGACAACAGATCATTTGTATTTTTTCTGATAATCCCTTCTCATGAGGTAGGCAGACCGAAGCTGTTTTCTGCAAATTGTTATCCTCTTGTACCCTTCTATTCCAGTTTGTCATAGCTGCTGCCATGTACCCAGGGTAGTTTTGTTGTAGGGTACTGTTTATACTGACAATTTCCTGTTCATATGTCTCTAGGTTGCCACTTCTGACTTTTGCTTGATGTTGGAAGCAGCAAACAATCCCTTTCTTTACACTGTATGGGTAGTAGAAATTGAAATTGAGATATTCTCCAGTGAATGTTGGCTTGCGGTATATGGATGTCTTGAACCCATGCTCTGTTCAAGATAATAGTACATCCTGGAAGGCTAGTTTGTTGTTGTTGTTTTCTCTCTCTATTATGAACTGTATCA